AACAACAAATATTTCTTAAAACATACTGGTTTGAGTCTTTAGAATGAATTGAGGTGAAATAAAGTAGAGGGAGCGTGAATGCTCTGGGGATTTGTAACATGAGGGGTACTGCAGTGACTTTTGTTAGAAGATGGTCATTACACCTTAACGTCTGGAGAGGCCATGGAGGGGGAAATCACAGATCAGAGTCCATAGAAGCACAGACAGTAGAAGTATAGATAAGGACACTTAGAGCAGCTGATGTGCTGATATCTGCTTGTGTTAATTAAAATCAGTCTCAGCTTTTCCTTTGCTAAATGTAAGAAATAGCCTAAAGATCAGTACATGATAGACGCTGCTTATTTTACTCATTGCCTGCTTCTGCTGCCAGTTGAGTCAGCCGCAAAATTCGCACTGAGAAAATGTGAACACCTATAATGGTTTTTATTGAGCAGAGTAAAGAACTATGGAAGGGGCTTAATAGCTTCAGAACTGATCAGAATATAATAGCATTTTTTTACTTGAATTTCTTTGATTACTGGAAACTTAAACCTTCTTGATTGCGTGATTAACTGCTGTAGAACGTGTCCTGCTGTTCCATTTCAGTTGGAGTTCCCTGACTCCGTGGCAAACACTGAACAGAAGTACCATTTGTTTGAATAATAAAACTTGCATTTTGTTATTGTGGTAGTGCTTACGTTTGACATTAAAACAATTTAAAATGAGAAACTGAGCAACTGGTACGTCGTAAAAACCTGGCTGTAAAAGTTTATTCAAGTCCAGACCTGAATTACACAGTGACTTCTCAGATGGAGGTGGATGTTTTCACCTTTTGCTACCTTAACTTGCTTAGCCCTGTGAAATCCAAACAGCACTATAGTTTCTACTGTAAAAGAAGTAGGAACAGGAGATGCAAGTCAAGTAGAAGTCAAATAAACAGTTGACTATATAATATCAAAGCAATCTAAATGATGCAAGCACAGTTATAACTACATGTAACTATTACATGTCATAATAAGTTTAATTATTTAGCATTTTGTAGTAAATAGTTTTTCTAAATTGTTAGCAGAGAAATAGTTCCTCTTCTTTCAAAGGACACAAAATATGTAAATGCCAGCAGGACAATATTTAGTTCTTTGTGTAAATTCGTTTTGAAAGCAAACATTTTATTAGTAACAACTACAGATTTTATGAACTGTGGAACTGTAGCTCAGAAAACAGCTATATGCTCTTATTTTTATATTTATCCTAGTTTTCCTGTATATGCGTGTTGAATCTTGTAAACTTACTGTATTTTTCTAAACTGATATCAAAGGTATTCCTTTTTAAAATGATAACGTTAAATGTCACCTTTCTTATCTATATTTCTACTAGAAGTGCTGGTTTTGACCAAACGGTGCTTTATTCTGCCGCTTTGTTTAGGGCTGCCTCCTATGAGGATTTTACTAACTTCTTGCGCTTGTACACTCAGCTACAGAATGCCAAAAGTGCAAAGCAGTATGCATTAAAGAAATAATATGATCGTCCATTAAAGTGCAGTAGGAGAAAAGGATAATTAAAAAACATTTATATGTCTTACTGACAACTGTCCAACCCAGGTGTACTTGCTTTTCCAGCTATCTCAGAAGGTGGCCCAATTCATAATTCAGTGAACTGCCAGGACACCACATTTGTAAGAATGAGTCTTACATGCAGTACAGTCAAAGGTTTTCTACCCATTTTTTTATAAATTTGTTATTTTACATTAGAGAAACTTTAATTTTTATTTGTTAAGGTCTAAAACCCAACCATGTTTAATTAAATTTGGTAGGAGCATACGTATACAAGATGGGTCACTACAGTATGTATTGTTTGCTTTTATTTTACTTCTAGCTCATTTCACTACAATCACTTTGTTTTCTTCCAAGCATTGCACAATTTCAATATGCCAGGGTAATGGTGAATGAAAATCAGTTCTGATCAGTTGATTAGGATCAACTAAACATCTTTTCTCACAATTTTATAGTTACTACACTGAGCTTCTTTTTTCCGGGAAGCTAGAAAACTCAAGAAACGTGTAGCCTGGTTTAAAACCCTTAATTGTAGGGTTAACTTCATAGGAGTCTACAAGTCCTTTGTTTTTTGAGAACTAACTGTTGTGGAAATCAGGGAACTCGTCTCCCTATGGTCCTGCTATGGTCTTCTCTTAAAAGTTATACGGTGCATAAATCTTAAAACCCATCAGGTTTTAAAATTTCCCCTTGCATTCTTTCCCCATCTTGTATGTAACTCCCTTCATTTTCCTGCCTCCCAGCTGATTTTCAATCTACCCATACACTCTCGTATTCCATCTTTAAAGAAACTTTTCAGAACCATGTTAACAGTCCTTTAAGGTTTAACTTTCAAAACTGAGGAGTCTGGTGTCTGCTTTCTCTGCTGTGATCCCTCCTTTCTACCATTGCATCCGTGTGCCAAATTAGCACACACATCTCCAGTTAAACACTGGTAGGCGTATCCAGAGACTGGCTTCTATTTAGTGAAATTCATTTTTTGGCACTGATATTGTCACCAATGCCAGTAACATTTTCATTCTTTCATGTTTTCTATGAAACCTCTCCAAAGGCTGTCTTTTCAACAAATATAATTTTTTTTTCTTTTAAGATATGTAGAAATACACATGGAGCAATTCCAGCCATATAGCATATACACCTAGAAGACATTAGCACATACCCATGCTCTCTCATATGCTTTGAACCCACAGTAACTGGGACAGCCTTCGTGAAGCTCTTCAGGAGTAGAGGAGGATGGGACCTGATTTTATTCCGTATCATGAAATAACGTAGTCCCAAATAAGGCTGTAAACTTGCCATTGTAGTACGGTATTAGTACTGTCTGCGTATAGAACGGTGTTGTAGTTGTCAGCTTTGATATATTCTAGATTCCATACCTGTGATTATCTTGCATAAAAAAATTGTCCTTTTAGATTTAAGACTTAGGGCAGTTTGAAACACTTCCAGTGCTGCAGAGGACTGTATCTCGAACTGAGAAGGCAAGAGGCAAAAGGAAATTTATACTAAAGTCAAACATTAACAATCTACAAGAAATAATATCTTGTAATGTTACTTTTTGTGAAGACATTCAGAGTCACAAAAGACTAATTTTTTCACTGCTGTTTAAATACATAAATTCATGTTCATTAGTGAGTATTTAATGATTAAAATATTGCTCGTGGTTATCATTTTGTGGAAAATACCAAAAATAGTGAAGTGTGTTTGAGCATATGTATGTAAAGAATCATTAAGCTACCATTCAAAAAGAAAAGAGATGAAGTTGTAGTGAATATTATGTATTTTAGCAGAGTAATTCTAGGAGAGAAGATGATTTACAATTGAATTTCTATTGAGGATTTGGATCTTAGTTGACTGAAATAAGAAAGACATGAATTAGATTTTCTTATTAAAGAGAATGTAGCATATTTTGTGGCATTCCTCGTCAAACTTAGCTTTGATACTGTTCACTTTATGTTTTAATAACTAAATAATTATCAAGTAATTAATATAAGAGGTGAGGAATGGATGAGGGTTTCACTAGTAGAAATAGAAGAATGGACAACATTTCAGAGCTGTCATGAAGCAAGAATTGACAGGATTTGTTGACAAGCCACTGAGCGGAGGAATAAATTGGATATCAGGGTTATGAACTGTAATAATAAAAAGGATGGTGGAGATGGGGAGTAACAGATGTCATACGATGTAGTCGAGACGCTTTTATCTTGTACAGATTCAATTTATGACTAAGCATTCAATTATATATGTCAGAAAAACAACAGCAGGGCGAAGAGGAGAAACCAGATCCAAAATGTGAGTTAGATAGCTGCCAAAGTAGTAGTGGGGTAACAATAATAAGAGCAAGGGAAGTGAGCCTGCCTGCTTTTCTGAGGCAGAAGGGAATTTAGAGCATTTCCATGCTCGTGTGCCCTGCTGTCCTGTGCAATCCCTTGTCCCTCATCCCGTGGCTGCCGACACCTTGCATACCGTGGCTTGTCTTCGCTCTGAGCTGTGACTTAGCCCTAGAGCAGACCAAGTAAAGAGCTCTGGGTGAATGGCATCCTGAGGGGAAGGTGGCTTTCAGAAGGGCCACCTGAGGCACCTGAGCTCACCTGGTGTCACTGGGACTGCTCCTGCCAGCTGAGCAGATGTGGACTCTTCTCACTGCCTCGTGCTGTGGATACCGGCTGTCTGTGAACTGAGGCAGTCATTGCATGTCATCTCTATTCTCCAGGTCATCTGTGTGTTTAAAATGGATGTATTTAAACAGTGAACTTCAGATCTGATGTTCTTTTTTTTGATACCCAGTTGTTCCAGTGAAGTCCTTCAGAATATCTGTAAGATCCAGGAAAGGTGTCAGAAAGTGGTAACATTCAGCCAGGGAAAACATTGTTTCGCTCTTGCAGCAAGTCTCAAACTTAGCTCAGTGTTTTCTGCTGAAAATATTCCTGTAACCAGAAAGTGACATTGTAACATGTAAAAATATTATAAACCTTTCTTCTTTTCTAGATTAAAATAGGAAACACTTCTTCCATGAAGTGACCGTACATATCAGAGGGATGTGTGGGATACCAAATGATGATGATAAGTTTGGGCAAAAGGGTGCTGCAAAAAGAGAGAGGGGTTTCTGTGTAAACGGGAGAAAGAACCTTACCTTTAAAACTGTTATTCTACCTATGTAATATGAAGCGCAGTCCAGGTTCACTAAAAATCATGAAAAAGCCGTGGAGGACGAAATAGGGAAACAAGTGTCATCTTAAATGATGATTGACTAGGGCTTTTTCTTCTAGTTGAAATAAAATGTAGCTGGCTACTGATTCCAGGGCTGCGTAGCAACAGTGGTTACAAAGTGATTCGCAGTCAGAGTTTCTGGTCTCCCTGCTGCAAGAAAAATATGCAGCAGATAAATTATGAAAATGTTTATATTAGTATTTAAAATGGATATTCCCTTGCATACAACAGAACTAATAACCTCTCCTATTTCCACACAGCCGAGGCAACGAGAATAGACTAGCGCTACGACGACAGACCATTCTCCGGGAGAAGGGGAGGAGGCAGGCCAGTCGAGGGCCAGCGTATATGTTCAATGACCACTCAACAAGTCTTTCTCTTGAGGAGGAGCGCTTTTTGGATGCAGCAGAATATGGAAATATTCCAGTGATTCGCAAAATGCTGGAAGAATGTCCCTCACTCAATGTGAACTGTGTGGACTATATGGGGCAGAACGCCTTGCAGTTGGCAGTTGCCAATGAACACCTGGAGATCACAGAGCTTCTCCTAAAGAAGGAGAACTTGTCACGGGTTGGGGATGCCTTGCTTTTGGCTATTAGCAAAGGTTACGTTCGGATAGTGGAAGCCATCCTAAACCATCCTGCATTTGCTGAAGGCAAGCGGCTTGCTTTGAGCCCGAGCCAGTCGGAGCTCCAGCACGATGACTTCTACGCATACGATGAAGATGGCACACGGTTTTCCCATGATGTTACACCGATCATTCTGGCTGCCCACTGCCATGAGTATGAGATCGTCCACACTCTGCTGAGAAAAGGAGCTCGGATCGATAGGCCACATGACTATTTCTGCAAGTGCAGTGAATGCAATCAGAAACAAAAGCATGACTCTTTCAGCCATTCTAGGTCTAGAATCAATGCCTACAAAGGCCTGGCCAGCCCTGCCTATCTGTCTTTGTCCAGTGAAGACCCTGTAATGACTGCCTTAGAGCTCAGCAATGAGTTGGCTGTGCTTGCCAACATTGAAAAAGAGTTTAAGGTGAGTAGAGGGTACTAATTCTGACAGACACAGAATTGCAAAGTTCAATCAAAGGTCTTTCTCCCGTTCCTTGAACAGTAAGAGATCAGCATCATCTTCACAAATCGGCAGGATAATGTGGGAAAATGTATAGTTGTTTAATGAATGGGGGATTTAAATCTTTGAGAGTGTCTTGGTGCTCTGTGCTGATTGTAATTCATGCTGCTTGTGTAGAAGGTGCCAGCGAACTCGTTTTCTACTTTGTATCAGGCAGGATAGTAAGGAAGTCCCTGAAAACCCATGGGTGAAGCTGGCTTAGTACAGGGGAGAGAGGAGCCTGAAGTGAAACAGTTTAATCACTTATGCAAGCCACATTGCACGGTTCTGCTAAACCCTCATACATTCTCATTATCTTCTCGTAGTTGGACTGAAAGCTTTCTCACTTCTCTCAGTGTTTTACAGTTACTTACTAAAAGAACTCTAAATGATGTCCTTCTTGTCCTTTTCAAATGCGTTGCTTTTGTCTGGTGTTTCTACTAATCTTTTCCTCTTTTTTACTTATTTATACCTAGTTATATTTGAACTCTGTGAAATTAAAGACGTTTTCAGCGTTATACAGAATTTTTAGTGTTATAAAAATGCATGGTTTTAGAAAAAAACAATAATCAAGGGATTCAAGGCCCTTTAGATCCTTGAAGCATGAATGTTCCTTTTTTTTTTTTTATTACTGTTACGTAGATACAGTGGTGCACAACCTACAAAATATTTAGCACAGTTTATTTGTGTTAAGACAGTAAGAATGTAAGATTTTTGCTTTCAGTAAAGGCGAAGTCAGACCTTGTGCAAACATAGGCGGTATCAATTATGACTTAGGTTAGATAAAATCACTTGGACTGGGTTTACCGTATGGGACACCGTTGAAAGCAGATGCTGGTATATGGTACTGCTGTGACAGAGCAAGGTGTCTAGACTTCACTAGCAGGAGATCAGCTGCCCTCCAAAGCAGTAAGAAAGAGAATAATTTCCGATATTCTGCTAGGAAGAGTTTGAAGTTGCTGTGGTCAATATTTAATTTTAATCTTCTTGGCAGTGGCATAGTTCTCAACGCCATGAACCTGTCTCTGCTTAGCCAACCTGAGCTGCAGTGCCGCAATTCTGAATTACTCATTCTTGATTCATTCTCGTAGGTGTACTTTTGTGGCACCAATCTGTTATAAGAAGCCGAAATATTTTTTGGAGAAGGAACGTGCAAGGGATTCTTAAAAACATCAGCTAGACAGCTGGAATAGAAGCAGAGAAGAATTTTTATTTTCACAGAATCACAGAATCACAAAATCACAGAATGTTTGGGATTGGAAGGGAACTCTGTGGGTCATCTAGTCCAACCCTCCTGCCGAAGCAGGGTCACCTACAGCAGGCTGCACAGGACCTTGTCCAGGCGGGTCTTGAATATCTCCAGAGAAGGAGACCCCACAACCTCCCTGGGCAGACTGCTCCAGTGCTCCGTCACCGTCAGAGTGAAGAAATTCTTCCTCATGTTCAGACGGAACTTCCTGTGCTTCAGTTTGTGCCCATTGCCCTTTGTCCTGTCACTGGGCACTACTGAAAAGAGTCTGGCCCCATCCTCCTGACACCCACCCTTCAGATATTTGTAAGCGTATATTAGGTCCCCTCACAGCCTTCTCTTCTTCAGGCTGAACAAGCCCAGCTCCCTCAGCCTCTCCTCGTAGGAGAGATGTTCCAGTCCCCTCACCATCCTCGTAGCCCTCC